TCTCTCTCTCTCTCTCTCGCTCTTCATCTCCTTCCCTCTATCTGGCATGTTAGCGTATGCTCATTCTATTTTCCTATTTTACTTTCTTTTTTGTCTCTTTCACTCTCTCACTCATTCTACATTCTCTCTTTCTGTGTGGGTTTTTTTTGGTAGACAGAAAGGTAAACATATACCCCATGCATTTGTGTTTTTGCATACAAATATACAAACATGCTCGCATTCATTTAAAAATATATAAATATACATTGACAGATACAAATGTGTAAATATATTATTTTAATAGACTGATTGATGGGAGAGTCGATCGGGAGATGGGCTGAGGAAATACTGGGACACGATACGACTGAATCGATTGCTTTGAGACAGAATCAGATGGTATGTCTGTCTGCATTCTCTGATTGTGTCGGATCCGACAGATACAGATGTATGACCAGGAAAAAAAATAAAGCAATAAAAATATTGAATGAAGCTACACGAATTAGACATGCTGAAGCCGAGAGGGGCGCCCGCAAGCTACCCACTTCCACAAGTTGAAATGAAGCTTCTAAATGCTCCCAATGAGGCACACTCTTCTCTGCATGAATAGGTCTCATTGGCCATATCAGAAGCCACAAATCGTCATAATCCTTAATTATATTTCTATATCTCTTTAAGAAATTGTCTTCTCTGCTGGTGCTTATGCCATCCTCAGACATTGACGGATGAACAAATATTATTATTATTATTATTATTATTATTATTATTATTATTATTATTATTATTATTATTACTTTCATTATTATCATCAAAACTAATTATAACAATATTATTGCACCCCAAGGATATGTGACGTTTGCTATGACAGGCAAATATAGTGCAGATTCAAGTAGGGGGGAGGGAGGAGAAGAACAAAGGGAGATGTACTTTCCAGTTTACTTGGGTAGGAGGAGAGAGATGGGGTATGGGGTGACAGGTAAGAGGGGATGAGGTGGGTAGGGGAAGGGGATTGTGGTGAGTGGAATGGGTAGTAAACTTATTGCCTCTGTCGGAAAAGCAAATATAATGTATACGAAGAGAACTAGTGATAGAGATCTAACAAAGGTGAACGATTAGAAAGGTTGATTTCTCACAATGTGCCATGTTTCTATGGTCATACCGACCTATATTCATCTGTCTAACCCTCTCTGCGCCATTTCTTTATTTTCAAACGATTTCTTTCCTTCTATACCTCCCATCTGGATAGCGACGGAAAATTTCCTTCTGAAAAATGCTCACCTTTCATCCCCTTCCCTACTCCTTTACCTGTTCTGTCGTCTCCACTCCCTCACCTACTTTGCCACCTCCTCTGGGCTCCTGACTCTTTCTGCAACTTTTCTACTGCTACTCCTTGGCTCCTTATTACTGCTGTGTTTCAGCCACATCCCTGATCTTATGGTAAGAAAGATCTACACCCAGCCCTCTCTAACAAGGGCGAAAAATCTCGGAGGTCCCGTGTGCAAGTGACGCACGTTGAAGATCCCTTGGTGGTTCAAAATCAATAAGAGTAGGCTTCGGCCGCCACCTGGGCAAAGTTCAGAATGTCCTACCTATTGAAAATGTTTAATGTGTCCCGCGTGCTCATATGACCTTATTGCAGTTGCGAGCGCTGTAAAACACTTACAAAAACGAAAAAAAAACCTCACTCACACACAGACAGACTGACACACACACACACATACACACACACACACACACACACACACACACACACACACATACACACACACACACACAGATAAAAGCAAACAAATAAAACCGGCAGCACAGGATCGTGTCCCTGAAGGCAGGCAATAGATTAAAGCAATGTGTCCCCCCCCCCCCCCAGCGCTTCCTCACAGTGACCTATTCCTGAAGTTTCTCGTATCAATGACCCGTGTTATCACGGAGTAGCTAAGGGACGGTCTCAATATGTCAACAGTGACGTTTGAAAAAATAAAAAACCCACAAAAAACTGCTACAAAAACAAACCAATAAATCAAAATCAAAAAACAAAATAGAATCATTACGGATTACCCCGGATTTTTAAGGTAAAAAAAAAACAACTAAAAAGGGCCACGGCATTTTTAATCAATAGCAATTATTTAAGTGTTGCGATACACATATCGATGCCAGTAAACGCGTACTGAAAGAAAGATGTATATTAACATAGAGAGAAATCCGTGCAATTAGTGTTTGACAACCTGGTGTCCACTAGTGAGCAATATAGTACTTTTGGTACATCGTGAGAATGACCATGTTACTGACGCATATTGTTCATTGGTTGAAATGCATGTAGGGGGGCATTAATTTGGAGCCTTTTTTAAATGAGCGGAAGTGAGTGCTTGTGAATGATTAGGTCGACAAACCAGTGAATAGTCTTTGGCACTACATCCACGGCTGCTGCTGTTGCTGCTGCTGCTGCTGCTACTGCAGCTACTACTACTACTACTACTACTACTACTACTACTACTACTACTACTACTACTACTACTACTACTACTACTACTACTACTACTACTAATACTACAACTACTACTACTACTACTACTACTACTACTACTACTACTACTACTGCTGCTGCTGCTGCTACTGCTGTTGCTATTGCTTTTAACTCCACTCGTCGACGACAACTGTGCAATACAACTTCATTTCTGACACCCGATATTTACTTTTTTTTTCTCTAACATCAAATATTTTATAAAGATCTAGTACTGGATGTTTGGCCGGTGTTCTGGTGTGCTTTTTTTCCTTCTTCGATATCAATTTTTTTTTCTCCTCCTTATCGCTTTTCCTTTTTGTGTCAGTTACCCTCTTGTAACTCCTCTGATCTTTATATGACCAAATCCCGGTTTAAAGTTCCGTAAAACTCTTACTAAAACAAACTAAAGATCTTATCGTTCTTTAGGTTTTAGTCAGGACAGCAGCCTTTGTTTGTTAGTCAGCTTTTCAACAAAAGACACATGTATAGCTTAGAATAATGCTGTAGCAAGTTGTCAAATAGTAAAAGGCCAAATGAGTGCTCTTAGCCGAGGCAAAATAAAAAGTATGATCTTTAAAAACCAGGAAGAGATTTAAAAACAAGCATAAAAAGGACGCCAAACATGGAGCACTGAGGAGAAGCCTAGCGTGTATTGTTTGCAGAGACCTGAAACTGCAACAACACATAAGAAGGAGAAGTGAAATATGCCGATTACTGAAGAGTGCGCAGTGTTTACGGACTTGAAGATTAACTGGCTACGGGTGGATTGGTCTTGGGCCAAAATCAACGCGAAAATCTCGCAGCACTAGCGGGGAGCACAGGAGAGAAGGCAAAGTCATTGCTGCTAATGAGAGACATTGCATGTGAACCCATCCGTGCTGGCGATCATTACTGCTAGGGTTGGACTCAAGCCGGCTATATATACCCAGCTTGCAAGTGGAGCTAATGACAAACGTGCAAGAATATTCTAGAATCTGGCGAGTTACCTAACAAGTCATTACCGAACGACTCCTGCTGATTTGTATCCGTTTGAGAAGAAATTTTTAAAAGGCAGAAAGCTATTTCAGTGTAAAACCTGGTCGTTCATTTAGTATATCTGCACATCTCGAAAGAGGAAAAAAACATCAAAGGGAGCTATAAAAAAGGATAAGCCAAAATATTTGTTTAAATATTTCTCATGCTGGGTAAATAGTAAAGACGGAAGATGTTCTAATTTTGATGATACCAATTTTTGTCGGAAAGAGGAACTTTCTCTTTGTTTTCTGTAATATTTACGTAAGATACATCGTTCAGTAGAAAATGAACGACGAACGTCGTATATTATGGGTTTTGTTTGTTTTGTTTTGTTTAAATAATAATAGTAAAATAAAATTTAGTCGATCTTATTTTTTGGGTTTTGTTTAGCACTTCATACTTCGTAGCTTCGTCACCTATTTATGGCATCTAACTTAATGTTTGTTTGTTTAATACTTCATGGCTTTGCGAATTACATTATATAAAGGGAATTGGATTTTTCCATGTCGTCGAATGAAGGCGGTGTGTAATCCTATAGTAGGGCTTGCTGGAGCGGCAGGATCAATATTGTGGTATTAAGGGTCAGAATTGTAAAGTGATTTGTGCTCGGCGAAGATTTCCAGGGTTTTCCATTGTGAATAATTACGTCATTGTGTAAACCAAATGCTTTGAACAAATCAATTTAAATCGATCAATGGGCATGGTGTTGCATGCTTGATTATAGGTGGTTGGCGGAAGCTTTGTTGTGGTTTTGTCCTTTTTTCCTATCAAACATCTACCAGTATCGTCTTTATTTCTCCTCCTTCTTTCCTTGTAATTTTACTCTCAGCTAGCACCTCTAATCTTCTGCACTCATATGACCTGTTTGTGTTACAAGTGCCGTAAAAATCCATAAAACTAAAAGTAAGCTGGTGTACTTTTAGACACAATGTACCTTTTTGTTGCGTATGTCTTTGAATTCGTGCAGAGATTTTTATAAAAGCATTTATAGCCTTAGATTGTCTCATCTAGCTCAATGCTTACAATACGGCACTGTACATATGATCTAGAATACGCTTTAACTCCAGTCTTTCTGAAACATTACGAGTCGCGGGAAATGTTGAGGGAGGGACAGGAAAGGTTTTGTAAAAACTTATTTTTTTTCTCTACACACATTAGTATGAGATATTGTTGCCATTGAGAAACGCTTATTTCATACTATTGCCAGTTTTTCTTAACCTGTCTGCCTCCTTTCTGTCTCTCCAGGGAATATCCAGGATAAGATCGTATCGACTCCCCGTTTGATGCGCAGCGGAATGAGGGACCGAAATAACTCGCTTGAGAAAATCAAAATAGGGCTCATTGAAGCGTGCAAGTCGCCGGAGTGAGTGGAGGCTGCGGTGGATGCGCGCGTGCCTGGCATTGGCGCTCTCGGCTCTTGGACAGATCGATCGGCCCTGTGTGGGGGGAAAGAGTTCATCCTCTGGTTCTCGGAGTGTCTCTCCTCTCTGGACTGAGGCCCCGCCACCTCTGTCCACTCAGGTGGCAGTAGTAAATCAGGACTGAGGCCCCACTACCTCAGTCCAAGATGGACTCGGGCGATACCCGCCTCACGAGCATCCCCCTCTCCCACATCCTGGAGAATATGGTTGTGTTTTGCCTTTCAAGCTCTCATTGTCTCTGTGTAGACAACGCCGAAAACCTACAGCCCTGACAGCAAAACAAGTTTGGAAGATTCTTTAATCTCAACGTACTAAGTTTTGACAACTTGTTGTTTTCTGAGTTCGGGCCAGGAGGATTACTTGACAGTGTTCTCACTCCCGTAAAGACCCCCGTGTCTTCAGGGGAAAACAAAAGCCCTACCACCCTGACAACCAGTCGGCTGTAACACGACGCACGACAAATATCTTGTACAGTCTGTATGGAATAGCGGACAGAAGGACGGAGAATATGACGAGTGTGTCTGCCTCGGCCGCCGTGACCCCCCCTGTCCTCTACACTCCCATGAACAGCACCGATGTGTACATCCCGTACGGCATCAACGGCTCCCTTTATGTCAATACCACCTCCCCAAATGGCACAGACCTGTTCGGGAACATCACAAATACCACCCTAGCGCCACCAGAGGACGAGCAACCTCCCATCCCGTACCAACAATGGGAACAAATCATCGTGGCCGTCATTCTTGGCGCTCTAATCATCTGCACCATTATCGGAAACTGTCTGGTGTGTATATCCGTTGCCATAGTGAAGCGGTTACAGTCGCCGTCCAACCTGCTGATCGTGTCCCTGGCCGTGGCGGATCTGTTCGTCGGGATGACCGTCATGCCGTTCGCCGCGGTGCGCCAGCTGTACGGCTCCTGGATTCTGGGTACCATCGTCTGTGACATCTGGACCACCACGGACGTACTGCTGTGTACCTCCTCCATCCTCAACCTGTGTGCCATCAGCGTGGACCGCTACTTCGTCATCACTCGACCCTTCCAGTACGCCATGAAGCGGACGCCCAAGCGGATGGGTCTGATGGTGTTCATCGTGTGGACGGTGTCCGCAGTCGTGTCCATCCCGCCTGTCTTCGGCTGGAAGAGTCCGCACAAGCCCTACGACTGTATCATCAGCGATGATATTGGATATCAGATCTATGCAACCCTATGTGCCTTCTACCTTCCGCTAATCGTCATGATCTGCGTCTACTTTAAAATATGGCGGGTGTCCTCCAAAATCGCAAAAGCTGAGGCGAAATCCAAGATCGGGAGCTTCGACAAAGGCGCGGAGTTCCAGCTTGGTCGTCCGTCGCACGACTCAGGAGACAGTAGCGTCATGCCCAACGGATGCCTCAGAGACGGGGTTACCAACGGCGGGGGTGGAGATGACGACGGATCAATAGAAATCTTACCAAAGAAACTGGAGCCGGAGAAATCTAGCCGGCGTCGATTCACGATCCGCTCTCTGATTCCGAGACAACCCAAGCTGAGCAACACTAAGGAGAGGAAGGCCACCAAGACGCTGGGTATCATCATGGGCTGCTTCACGCTGTGCTGGCTGCCCTTCTTCATCCTCGTGCTCGTCAGTACATTCTGCAGAGAATGTCAAGTCCCCATGGAACTCGCCAGTGTTCTAAACTGGCTGGGATACGCCAATTCTTTCCTAAATCCTGTGATATATGCACGTTTCAACCGGGAGTTTCGGACTCCGTTCAAAGAAATCCTCCTGCTGCGCTGCCGTGGGATTAACACTCGCATGCGCTCTGAGAGCTACGTGGAGCAGTACGGTCCTGTGGTTTCCCACCGGGACAGTCTACGTCCACCGACAGACTCTGTTGTTCGTTACAACAGCCAGGGGCAAACTGTCGTAGCTCTTGGCAATGGTTCTGCTAACGGATCTAGACACACAGAGTCCAAAATTTAAATGCGTCATCGATTTTTAAATATTTTTTTTTCGTTATGTAATAACTTATACTATTAAGTTTCATTTAATTTTGTTTGGATCTCTTCTTTACTTCACTTGCTTTAACTTTTACTGATGTCTTTACTAGTATAATACGTTTGACTTTGAGTTTCCTACTGTGTTGCTGGTCCTGAGCGATGTGGTATACTCGGGCGGCGAACATATGTTTAGATAGTTGAATTGAATTCATTCTAAGTTATAAGTTTTACGTATAATTTTGCCAGTGGTGAAACTTAATCTGTGTGTGCTACATAAGTGATATTATATGTTAAGTATACTGCTAACTTGTCCTGATTTTACACACACACGCACAAACACACACACACAAACACACACACAAACACACACACACACACACACACACACACACACATATGATTTATTTCTCTCTTGTACACCCTTGTTCTCGTAAATATTTCTATCGGTGGCGTTTGGAATGAGCCTTTTAAATGAAAGATACGGCTGTAACTTCAAGCTCACCAAGTGTGATTCCTGTAAGACATGCCGGATAGTATGCTTGGTGAATCTATCTTGAACATCCACAGTCATAGAGGAAAAGCTGTCTGCCTTGCTCCCAACAACTCTGTGCCAGTGAGTTTTCCAAAGGCGATGTATGCTTAGAAAAATGGCAATTATAAGCAATTATCTACTTAAGCTTTCCTAGGCAATGTGTGTAATTAGTGAGAAATAACTACCAAAAGAAAAAAGCTATAAATTGATATATGTTTAAAACCCGGAAACAAACTTTGAAGACTATCTTTCTTTCTGTTCGCTTCCTCGTGAGCTTTTAAAGGAAGACTATTGTCCAAAGAAAATTCCATAGCTGCAGATAGGGCTCTTTCTTCACTCACATCAAGTTTTCACATAAACTATTTTCCCTGCTATCTTGTAATTCAGTTTGTTTTGATATACATATTATATTTGGCATTTCCCCTGAAGATCTCGTCTTTATTGTAATATAGGCCTTTAATAAAAAACGATCACAGCCGGACACACGCTCAAAGATTTGTCCTCACGTTGGTCACAAGTAGCAATAATTCATCTGGATGCGCAACGAACGCATCTGTTGGAAAGAATCGTCTCCCACATAATTTATATGACTGCAATATTTTCTATTTTCGTGAGGCTTTGTTTGACTAGAATTTGTTCCACTCTTCATCTCTTTCTGTCTTGGAAAGTCACAAGCTAGTCTCCGGAGTTGCAGGAAGTCCATGTCGAGTAATCGAGACCTGTTCTGCTTTCTTCCAACAGTGGAGAAAAAATGGGCGGCCAAGTCGTGGTGTCTGCATTTCATCGAAAATGCTCTATCTCTTTTAAAACAACATTAAGGCTGGAACGTTCTTTCGTTGTATAAACTTGCCTTGTTGAACAAAACTATAGTTAGACAGACATGTACTTGCTTCTGTGAGAAGGTTTTTATAATTCGTACTTGCTCTTCTATTAACATCAAGCGATATGTAACAGTAATGTTAGGCCTTCAAAGTGTTACATTTACAGTGTGGATCCCGTACCATCTTGACCATAATTTACTATAGAATGGTAAGCTATTTTTCCCAAGGAGGATAGGTAGAATAAACAGCCTAGTGTTGGTTTGATATAACAAACTGACCGTGTCTGGATGTTGTGATCTTGCGCAATGACGACTGCTTTATGTGTACCACACACGATGATATTAACAGTGATATATTTTGTATCCCTTTCTAAATTGCGTTTTCTTGCATAAATTAATATGCTTGTATTTCCGGTTACATCTCCCTCCCCTCCCTAGCATCCCAATACCCCCTATTGTTATGCCTTTGATAAAACTCACTAACAATGTTATAACATTTCAACGCTGCTGTTCTTCTGTCATTTTAGTTGTGGTTCAAAGGAATCAAAACTGTATTGATGTGATCTGAAAATCATGCAGCCTCATTAGATCCATTTATGCTGTGTGCTTAAGTATCAATGTAGTAGCCGTTAATGTTTTGTCATGATCATTTATCAGTGTGTCATATTATGCATAATGTTATGATACGTGTATTAACCACTATGAACATAATATATATTATTAACCACTTGCAAAATGTGATTCAGCACCTTGATATAATACTTTTTAGCGATGTACTGATTGCGAACACAACACGTACGTGCCATACTGAAGAAATGCGAACTTATTTTCATATCGACTGAGCTACCGATTCCCAGAAAGCTTGCCTAAATGTCATCCAAACAAACGTTGTTTATTCGAGTTACTTTTATTTTGTAGATACTAATACAATCTTTGTTTTGAATACTCTCCCCGTAATATTATGTTCAGCTTGCCGAGACTAGCAGTCACGACAAAGTGTGTGCTGGAGAATATTAGACTTAATTACTTGTTTTCATAATGTTTGATCTTGTACAAATAAGGTCATTGCTAATTTATTGTATGATAATACAAAACACACTTGGCCCGTAGTTTATTTAATGATACATTAGCATGAAACACGCGTGTTTCTTGTAAAATTGATAGGTGAATGTTTGATTAGTAATAATGTAAATTATTGTTTTTTATATAATATATCGAAAGGAGAGAGAGAGA